GGGGGGGGGGGGGGGGGGGGGGGGGGGGGGGGGGGGGGGGGGGGGGGGGGGGGGGGGGGGGGGGGGGGGGGGGGGGAAGGGGGGGGGGGGGGGGGGGGGGGGGGGGGGGGGGGGGGGGGGGGGGGGACCGATGGATGTTTTCCTGGTAAAACTGTAACAGTGCGTTTCAAGCTAAAACAAAAAAAAATAGTAATAAATTATTATGAATGATCCGAATTTTTTATATTTATGATAATAATTAATTTGAATTAATCAATACCAAATATCAATAAACTTGTAAAAAAAACCTGAAAACAATCGTCAAAAAACAAATTAAGATAAATTTGATTATTTAGATATACGAGTATTTTAGCAAAACATTCAAACCTTCGATAAATGGTAACTTATCATCTCCAAAAATTATTCATATGCTTTCTCGAGGCAATAATTGTTTTTCTCTGAAAAATTATAAATTAGAAAAATTCGGTTTGTCTTCAATCCGTTAAATTTTCAAAAACTTAAATGAATTCATTTTATAGTTACTTCTTATAATCACAAAACTAATATAATTCATTTGGATGTGGAATAAAATAGGATTTTGTTAATCAAGGACAAATTGGGTAGACGCTTAAATCCTGTTGGACGTGTTTTTTCATATCCTAAAAACGTTATAGAGATCTGACTGAGCTGCTCTATATTATTTCGATAAAATTTATTCATATGATCAAAGCAAATTATAAAAATATGACCAAAAGTTTAGAAACACTACATAATTTCTGTCAATATTAAAATCAAGCCATGATTTTAAACCACCCGCATTTAAATATTAAGCCATAATTCAGGCTTAAGTCATGTGATTCTAAGAAAACCCACCGAAAATTATTGCGATATATTTGAAAATTCGCAGAAATTTAATGACTCCGTACGTCCGCTTTTCGTTCCAGATGGTAGATCCCGGACTGGATCACGGTATTTAAATCGATTGAAACCCCTTCATATCACGGAAATGTGTACCGGTCAAACTCGTTTATTTTTTTGTCGCTAAACACAATTTTACAAGAATTTTCGGTATACAAATAATAGGTAAGTAATGCGGTATCACTTCACCGTGGTAATCATTCATCATGATTTAAAATGCAAACAAGATCATGCCTCGTATAATTACAGATCAAGCATCAGAATTTTTAATAACAAATCAGGCGTACAGCTTTTTTATAATATGTTAAGAAAGTCAAACTTTGTTGGCTATGCTAAAAAAATTAAATATATATTTTACTCATAATAGTGGCAAATTCTGACGAAGGCAAATTCAAGTTAAAGACAACGACGATGATAATGGAGACATTAACGACGATGTTAATGAGCGACACGATCGAATATTTTTACTTTATTGTTTATAATACCACCCAATTAGAAAGAACAACCCAAATTGGATAAAAGTTGACATTGTAGTTTAAGCTTTCATTGTTGACTAAATTTGGGCATAGCATGCGATCTTACTATACTAATAGTATTTTAGAAACATTAATGCGTGCATTAATAATATTAACCTTTTTTTAAAAACTAAAGTAACATTAAAAATTAATCATTAATGTAAATGGGAGAATGCAATGAATGCACTCTACCAAATGAATGTATCAATGAATGCCAAAAGTTTTTGAAATAAGCGAGATCTTTTATTAGTATTGTTCCTGGATACATTATTTTATTTTAGAATTTATCGTATTATTTGATCACACTAAGAAACGAACAATAGATATGGCCGTGTCCCTAATTTTCTTATTGTGTTGCGTATGAGCTTGATGCGGTTTGACGATTTTCGATGTGTCACGTTCTACAATATATGCTATATTTGTATTGGGACAATATTAATAAATTTAGTATGTGGATATCCGAATCAAGTAGAAAAATTGTGCATTGATTGATGCACACATATGCTCTTCTGCTACTACACTTATTAAACCCGTTTATCAGTTAAATACTTTACTGACGTTTCTATTATGATATTCTTTATTTTAATTAAATAAATTAAAAAGGACAATTGTTTTTTGTTTTTTCTATCGTTTTGCCTATTGTCTGTTATGTATGCATCCATAGTTTGTGTCACTGATATGTTTGTAAAACAAAAAAGGAAGGTTTTTTTTTGGGTAATTATGATGGATAATAGCAATGGAATCAGTGAATTTCCATTGTCATTAATTTAAATAAGGGATATTGTAATAGATAGTACGAAACGAGTACAAATGTGTCTGCATGGCATGGATTAGTATATAATAAGAGGTGAGGAATGATTCATTCCAAAAAAAAAGACAATATTTTCTAGCGATTTTTTATAAAATAACTCGCCCTCATCTTCCTGATATTGCATTGAAATATTTCTATATTTCACTCTTTTTTACTTATTGTAATAATAATAATAATACTACTTCCAAGCGAAGTTCTACTGTATATTAAAACCAAAAACAAAATTTTATAATTCCTTTTAACGAAAAAAATACTAAAAATGTCTTCAAAGCATTTCTTTAGCAAATATCAACAGCAAAATAATCTTAAAAAAAAGTCTTCCTCCTCGACTTTAGTACAGAGTATGGAGAACAGCAACAGCGACAACAATAATGGTACACTACCCGAAATTACGATAACAAGAAGTTCATCGTCAACTTCACAAGAACTTAACGCTATCCTAGCACAGCGAACAAAACCAAGCTTCGATATTAATAACTCTCCAACCTCTATGAATTTTGATTCTTCTTTAGAGAACAATAAGAATTCTTCATCAACACAAAATTTACCACCAGCTTACGGCTCAGAATCAGACCAAAAATCTACCGACACCGCCACGACTTCTGTTTCAATTCCCATACCAGCCCATTTACCAGTTTCAACACCAACAGCTCCCTGTTCAGACTTACTTCCCAGCTATGCACATGCCACAATCGATATGCCACCATCATACTCTTCAACATCGAAAAACATCAACGATGAATTCGGTATGAGCCCAATCGAGCCCCAAATTCCTTGGTCAATCACGAAAAAATTGTATATTCTCGGATTTTTTGTTTGGCCATTATGGTTTATTGGAATGGGATGGTGCGTCTTTGGACGGGAAAAGGAGACAAGGAAGTGGGCGAAACGCTGCATGTGGAATTCATTAGTGGTTGCTGCTGTCTTCACATATTTGTTGGTCGGATATTTCAGAACTGGAAGTCGCCTCGTATAATAAGGATTTGTGGGGTTTGATGTTGAAAAAAGTTGAAACGAACAATGGTTTTAAGGAGGTGTTTCGTGTGCGCCTTTATTGTTGGCTGGTCTAATAATATACATACGAAGTGAAACAAGAAGTTTAACATTTGATTTTCCCCCTGTATTTTTATCTTTATTTTTTATAATTAATAATTAATTTTTTTCCGAAATTAACGGATAAATTCCTTTGTAATATTTCGTATATATATATCTCTCTTTTTTCTTTATTTCATTATTGATTATTTTATTTATTTGGTTTCTTCTTTGTGTGTTCTTTTAATTTATTTATTATGTTCTTCCTCCTTCATTAATTTAATTAATACTCTACAGAAATACTTTGCATCTTGCATTCGCATTTTCAACACATTTAGCATACATTCATAACAACACATTTCATTTTAAGAAACTAATAATTTTTTTTTCTTTTTTGTAAATATTAATCATGTTAAAATTTCGAGCCAATTTATTTAACAATCTAAACAAAATAAACGAAACAAAAAAAGTTGGTCAACGTCAAAAGAATTTTTCTCAGTTTTTCAATATTTTAAGAAATAATAAATTTTTTAATTCGATATTACGTAATATGGCTGATTCCACGAATTATTCATATGTGCTTTGGCTCCCAAAATGATTTAGTTTTGGCTTGAATTATATCGGCTGGTGAGAATCATGTGTTTGGGAATTCGATATCCTGGGACCGAATAGACTGCTTGTCATCGGACATCAATTACTCGGATATCGTAACTAAAGAATTGTTGTACGGTGTAAAATAATTACTAATTCGCAATTATAGAGTTGACTATTTAAGACAACACAATTGTTCTAAATATATAATTCTTTGTAATGTGATAACTATAATTAGCAAATCTTGAATATAAAGAGTCAAAAAACAATATTAGGATTTTATTGATTCGCTGATCTCCAATTAAATGTGACAGATTAATAGCATATTTTCGGGATTGAATAAGCTCAAAGATTCCTATTATGTGCAGACCCCTCTATAATCACTAATTTTGACTTTTCCCAAGAAAGGTGATTATAGAAGGTAAACGTACGTATAATCACGTAATTGTCATATGGTTTCTTGATATTTTTTTGTGTACCTTACGGGTCCTCAAAATATGTCTGCTCGGATGTGGGGTTTTGGGGGATGAGTACGCGCAGAAAATTACCGCCGTCCTTTCTACTGTAACTGTACTAAAACTCATGATAGGCAGTTATCATTAGATCAATAATACATTCTTGAAACCAAGCAAGTAGGAAAAGTGTACCATGACTCCATCTATTCTCAACTCTAATAAAATTTTTATCCTAGTTTTGGGGGTAATACATTCATTGTTTGTTTGTTGTGTATATGAATAGGTTTCTATGTATTTTTTTTGTTGAGAAAAAATTATTAAAATAGATTGTTTGGTTGTCTTTTCACCTTCTTTTTGTTCAAAAAAATATTTCATTCACTCTTTTCATATTTAATATTATAAAAATTTTTGATTAATTTAAAGCATTGTACAATATTATTATAGTCATTTGTGAAATCGTATATATTTATTGAAAGAACTACGCGTCATTGTTCGTTTCACTTTCCGAGAGGACACTATTAGATTAATAAACATTAAAAGATAAAACCATATCCATTCATTATCTATACCTTATAAAGTATATATACATATATTACATTCACACAATAAAGAAGGAAGAGACGTATACACTATAAGAATGCCGTTTGGAATTTCGCATGATATTATTCTTACATTAGCGCGGTGGAGTCTTCATGGGTTTTTTCGAGACATAAAGGTTGTTGGTCAGGAAAACGTACCAAAGGAGGGACCTATTATCGCTTGTTCTACACACAGGTAAATTCAAACAACAATGCAATGTGACGAATATTTACGAGATGCATGATATGATACGAAGAAATTACCTGATTAAGCTTAGCGCATTTTTCATAGTAGAAAATATCTAATCAAAAGATTTGCTTAATCTTTTTTTAAAGTAACATGATTGTGGATGCGGCAGTTTTAGCAGCCACATTTCCACATAAGCGCAGACTTCACTTTTGGGCGAAAAATTCACTATTCGCCAATAAACATTTTCGAGCAATCCTAACCGATTCTGGCGTGGTACCTGTTGATCGGACCACAAAGAATAACCAAGGATTATTTTCAGCTACGATTGATGTGTTAAAATTGGGAGAGGTAGTTGCAGTGTTTCCCGAAGGTGATTATTTATTCTTATTAATTATTATTGATTAATTAGATTAATTGGATTATAAATATCTATACGACATATGATATTTAGGCACATCACATTCAGAATCACGATTACTTCGTCTAAGAGATGGTGCATCGTGGGTGAGCAAGCACAATATAATATCTTGGATCTTCCTCTCTTTTTTGTTTTCCTTCGCATTTCGGCATCGAAAATTTAAGTTTACATCCAAACTATATACATATCAATATTAATCAAACTATATAAATATAAAAATATTAGGCAGCGTTAGCATACACAAAGCACATCAAATCGGAACAACTTAATGGAATAGCACCTGATGATGACAGTGTTAATGATGACACTAGTAAATCACAAGAGAAGAATTATAATCAAAAATCTAGTCAATCACCATCCAAAGTGGTTATAGTTCCAGCGGGAATAACTTACGTTCAGAAAACAAAATATCGGAGTTTGGTTATATCCTCGTAAGTTTTAACTTTTATTTTTTGCTCGAGAGTGGAAAAGTTGTTGATGATCTTGATTAATCGACAAATAAAATAGATATGGTCCACCAATTGATGTTGAACCCTATTTAGAGGATTTTGAGAGAGATGATCGCACGACTGTTAAACGATTGACCCAGCATATTGAAAAAGAGATAGAGAAATTGACGATAAATGCTAAAGATTGGGAAACATTAAATGCTGCAAACATGGCACGTCTGCTTTTATTCTCTGATGATAAAGATGTGGCACTTGATGATCACGTGAAAATAACACAAAGGTGTGATTAACGATGCTAATTTACTATTAGTTACACTTAAAGTGAAACATGCTCATTAACAAAAAGTTTAATATTTCAGTCTTGTAAATTTTTTTACCACAACCGAAGAAGCATCATCGCTGAAAACCAATCTCCACCAATATAAAACCACATTGGACTCGCTAAATCTAAACAACATCGACATAGCACGTTACGAAACGCACGATCTCACCATCCATTGGGCACTATACACTTTCGTAGCCGAGTCCTGTAAATCGCTGATTCAACTCCCATTCTTCCTGCCAGGACTACTATTTCATTGGCCAATCTATATCTTGGGAAAACTGTCTGCGCGATATGAAGTTTATGAGGAGAATAAAGCACAGAATAAGATTATGTTGGGATTGGCGTGGCTGATGTTGGCGTATCTTTTCTTATTTTTGGTGATTTGGATTGCATTCTTATTTACCCCAGCAGGGTTTGTGCTGGCTGGTGGTTTTGTGTTCATTTTTGCGTGGTATCACATTGCATTAGTAGATAGGTGAGCTATCAGTGATGAACTTATGACCTTTCTTATGGTTCGCTCTTACTAACACGTCCATCCTTAAAAAACACACACACACACGCAGTCATTACGACGCATTCAAAGACGTTCTCTCATCGTATTGTATATTCAAAGCCTTAATAAGCGGCAAAGGAAGTGACGCCCGTGAAAAAGTAGAATCCCTTGTATCAATGCGTCGTGCATGTATTCGAAACTTGAAAAGAATAGAAGAGGATTATCGGGGAAAGAGTGACGATCTACGATACGTGTTTGAGTATCGTGCGGGCGTTGGTAGAGATGATGCAAGGAATGGATTCACTTCAAATACCAACGGAACTGCAAATGGAAATCATTTAGTGAATGGTGGCAGCAACGGCGATGATAATTATAATTATAAAAAGTCTCTGTAAATTTTGTATTTTTTGTATTTTATTTGAATGTTGATATGATTGTATGTTAATAATAAATATTGTTATTTAATGGAATATATAATAAGTTGACCTTGATTTAGATCATGTTTGATATAAAAGGAAATAATGTCCGCTTTATCTCTTCGTTGCAACAATGCTAATAATGCACAATCCCTGATCTTCGGGCAAATCATTACTAATAATTTAGGCCAGCATTATCGTTTCGCGTATATTTACACGATTATGGTGGATCCCACGAACACGGAATTTAAGCACATAAAACCCCGTTTGTTTAGTTTGTTTATATACATGTGTTTCGTAGAAAAAAAATAGATCTCGCTAAATAAATAACGGTTAACGCGCCACCCTATCCCCCAATAATTGCATCACATGCCCAAAGTACAATAGGGTGTGATTTTACGGTAAAAAACAGTCGCGATTCGTGTCTTCATTATATTGAAGTATACCTATTCATTAGGAGACGTCAAAAATTCTCCGTTTTCATTTTTCCTCGACAAAATAGCCTGTATTTTGTTACAAAGATTTGTTTAATTCTAAGTATCTTCACTTTTACAAAACCTTCTTTTTTTGTTAGTTTTGTTATTCTCATTCGATCGTTTACGTAAAGAATTATCACCTTCACTACCCATACAAAATACTCTTACACCCTGGTAATAAATAATGGAGATCCCCAAAGAGGCAAGTACCTCCTCTTCGTCTGTCGTGCTCAGTGCTCAGCAGCCTCTGCCGCCACCTCTTCTTTCTTCTTCTGCTCAATCACAACCACAACAACAGCAAGCTCGGACGGGCGACTCACAAATATATAAGGCTACGTATTCGGGTGTACCTGTTTGGGAGATGAGGTGTAAAAGTGAGTTGAACATATACCACCATGATTATTTTTATTTTTTTTTGGCTCGCAAAGTAAATGCGTTCACTTTTACTAACCGTTTTACTTGTTATCTCGAATTGCGTAGGCGTCGCCGTGATGCGAAGAAAATCTGGTAATTTATTTATCTATTCGAATCTAATTAATTCAATGTAAATTCGTATATCGTACACAATCGGTGAATGTTGTTCCAATATTGGCACATATATTTATTTAATTAACGATCTTTTGTGGTACTAGATGGCTGGTTAAATGCCACTCAAATCCTAAAAGTTGCAGAGTTTGATAAACCGCATCGAACAAGAATCTTGGAACGCGAGGTACAAAAAGGGGAACACGAGAAAGTGCAAGGCGGGTATGGAAAGTATCAAGGTAAGTCGATTAATACTGACGTCATCGATTAATATTTTTATTCTCGCTCTCTTGGACACGATTCGGTGTGCATTTCATTAACTTTCCCTTTTCGATTGATTCCTCCTTCGTTAGGAACATGGGTACCGCATAAAACTGGTGTTAGTCTTGCAGAGAAATACAATGTAAAAGAATTATTAGCACCAATTTTTGATTATGATCCATCGGCATTAGCAAGTCCGCCACTTGCACCTAAACATATCACCGCTGCCTCAAGTAAACCACGAAAACCACGCGAAAGTAAAGAACCAAAAGCGATAAAACCTAAAGCGACAAAAAAATCAAAAAAAGCAGCTGCCGCAGAAGTTGCAGCTGCCGCAGCCGCAGCTGCCCAACCGGAACCAATGGAAGATTTGTCAATTGATACTGATATTGAAACGAACACGAACGAAGGAGAAGCGATTAGTGTAACTTCACCCATATCAAACGTCACCACATCAGAAATATCGTCACTTGCCACAACTCCAGCACCGATTGAATCATCAAATGAATTGTCAGACTATGATATCACTCTTCCTCCTCCTCTTCAATCAACTTCACATCATCATCATCATCATCATCACCATCATCATCAATCACAATCATCACATCATCATCAATCAAAATCGAAAAAGCGTCGACAATCCGAACATAATGGTCGACCTCAAAAACTTATCAAAACTGTTTCCGCGACAGCACGCCAATACGGAGAACAGATGCTTAAATTCTTTACGGCTCGTTCATCAATCCCAATTCCGGATTTTTTGTTGCATCCACCGGCTGATTTTGATCCAAATGTTAAAATAGATCAACAAGAACACACAGCGCTTCATTGGTCAGCAGCGACCGGAAAAAATCAAATTGCCAGAATTTTAATACAATCAGGTGCAGACATCGCTCCCGGTAATGTACGAGGAGAAACACCTCTTATGCGAAGTGTTGTATTTCCTTATTGCTACGATAGTCAAGGATTCAATGAATTGTTGAATTTGCTACGAGATTCCTTGTGTCATCATGATTACAGTAATCAAACGGTGTTGCACCATGTTGTTACTTATGCTGGCACAAAAGGGCGAGATCGTCCGGCAAAATATTATATGGAAAATCTTCTCAATCAACTCGCGACGCAACAACCCGAAGAATACCGAAGCTATTTTGTCAACTTGCAGAACAACAAGGGTGATACAGCGTTGAATATTGCCGCCAGGAACGCCAACAAGAAACTAGTAAAACTATTACTAGATGCCGGTGGTGATCCTCAGATACGAAACCGGGAGAATAAGAATGCCGAAGATTACATTCTTGAACATGAAGCAGAGGCAGCACGATTACGTGAAATCGAGCTGCAAAAACAAAAATCAACACACACCGTAAATTTGGAAACCTCCACGTCTACAGTTCGACCGAATGCACGTAATCGATTAATTCCCAGTGCTAATGCCATCCTACAAGATTTTCAAGAATGTTATGAAGCGAGATTACTAGGAAAAAAGAAAGAGCTGATTGCAGTCCAGTCTGATTTACAGGCTGTAAAATGGAATATCGAGGTCGCTAATAATAGTCTAGAAGAAACAAAAACAAACACAGACAAATTACCAGAGCTGAAAGAACGGGAAGCTGAATTGGAACGTTTAGTGAGAGAAAAACTTGATTCACGGTATGCTGAACGGATTCAAGCATCATATGAATCAGAGTTGAAGAACATCAAAAATGTTAATACTAATGTAGATTCCACAAAGTAAGCTTTACTTTACATTACTTTTACATGATTTCTTTTTATTGATTAATATTTACTTTTACTTGATTTTCTTTTTTATTAATTCTATGAACTTAATGATAACTTTAGCTTAGCTGAGCTCCGAGAAAAAGTTGATGCAGCGGAAAAAAATTATCAAATGTCGATCGGAACAGTGCTCAATACCATGATGGCCAGCGAAACAAAACTGGCTAAATATAAAAAATTAATAGAAAATTGTTCAGGGATTGAGTCTCAAAAATTCTTGGATAAAATTGGAGTTGTCCTTGAGAATCTTCCCGAACAATAAAAAAAATATTATAATTATTATTATTATTATTTATTATTTATTATTAGTATTATATTATTTATTATTATTATTATTATTATTATTATTATTATTATGTATTAAATATTTTTGATGAATAAATCATGAGAGAATCTATTTCCGTTGTTTCGCTTATGACCCAATGTAGAAAATCTTAAATGTGGGATCACATTAGGTATTCTATAAAATAATACTAATTAACACTAACTATACAATACTAATGGCAGAATCTAACACCAATGCAGAACCGCGGCCGCTTGTTGTTGGGCCAGAGACACCAATCTCACCATATCCCATAAAATTGAAGAGTGAAGTAGTAAAAGGATTTGGTCGTGGTAGTAAAGAATTAGGCATTCCAACAGGTGTTAATTCACTTTCAAAGTGAAGCGTTCATGCATAAGTGTAATAGAAACAAAACATTTTACGTTGCATTATGATGATAACAAATTTATTTTATTTTGCGTTATGACATAGCTAACCTCTCGGAAGATACAATAGGCGCAGTATGCAATGGCGTATCGACTGGCATATACTATGGATGGGCACAGGTGGTTGGTAAAGGTGGTAAGAACGATTTTCCTACTACTCCCGTTTATCCGATGGTAATGAGTCTTGGTTGGAATCCTTATTACAAGAATGAGAAACAAAGCGCGGTGCGTATTGAACATCTCTTTATTTATCAAGAAAAAAAATTTAATACAAGGATTGTATAATATGTGTATACACTTTTTAAAACATCGAGTCTTTGAAAGCTCGAAATTTTTTCTTTGTGAACTATTCAGACTGAATGGCTATAAGTGACTATTTTTGTCTTGTAGGAAGTTCACATCATACACGTTTTCCCAACTGATTTCTATGGCGAAGAATTACGCGTAATTGTCTTAGGATATATTCGACCGGAACGTGACTATAGTTCGTTAGGTATGGGTGTTCGATATAAGTTAAATTTCCGCTTATATATCAAACATTATTAATAATCACAACAAACTCACACACGCTAAAGAGGAACTTATCCAGGATATAAACACCGATATACAAGTGGCACATAATTCATTAAAACGTGATGGATATTCTAGATTTCAGCGTGATGAGTTTTTCGTGAGTGGCGATGCATGATCAAAGACTTTCTTTTGCCTTCGGAAGGATAATGAAAATAATTTTAGAGTAGGCTTTGGTTAATTAGTGTCTTTATTTATATTTACGTTTACCGTTACATTTACATTTTCATTCATATATATATTTTTATATTTAGAGTCTAGAGCACTCAATTTATGTACATGCTCGATGGATGTGACGTTACTTTTTGTTAGATTATATAATCTCTTGTTTTTTGGCTTTTTTTATTGCTGTATATATGAAACACTTCCTATTGCGAGGAGGGTGAATCTCTTTCATATTGATTTTTTTTATTATGCAAGTTAAAAAAATTTCTAGGACATTTTTCTCTTATTAAAGATGACACCTTAATCAATTGCAACCTATTTAGGCAATGTTCAAATTAAGAACTTGTTAAATTTAGAATTAAATGGACCAAGACCTGATAGACCAGTCCTTGCTGTGTCGTAGCATCTCTAGCTGAATTTGAGAGCATTTTTGTAAAATGTCCGAATACTAAACACAATATTAATGTAGATGAAACAAAGATGACTGGTATTATGAGCAGATAAAACTGATACCAGAACTGCTCTATCAAGTTAATAAAGAAGAAAACTCTGATGAGAATGATCTAATACCAGAACAAAGACAACAATTAGAAGAATTATTAAATGAATATCAAGATCTTTTTGATGAAAAACCTGGAAAAACTACAATTATTCAACATGAAATCAACACAGAAACTGAAGAACCAATAGCTCTAAAGCCATACTATAGACGCTCACCTATTGAAAAAGAATTCATAGAAAAAGAAATTGAAAGAATGCTTGAACAAAATATTATTTCACCATCAGATAGTCCTTGATCTGCACCTGTAGTAGTAGTTAAGAAAAAGAATGGCAAATATAGATTTTGTGTAGATTATCACCAACTAAATAAAATTACAAAAAGAGATCAATTTTCTCTACCTAGAATTGATGATCTACTTGATGCATTTGGCAAAGCAAAATACTTCTCAACACTTAATCTAGTCTCTGAATATTGGCAGATAAAAGTAAAGCTGAAAGATAGAAAGAAGATAGCCTTTGTCACTACTAATGGTCTATATGAATTTAATGTGATGCCTTTTAGATTAAATAATGCATCAGTTACTTTTCAGTACTTAATGAACAAAATATTTAAGTCTTATCTTGGATAATTTGTAGTCATTTATCTTGATGACACTAATATCTTCTCAGATATCTTTAAAAAGCATCTTACACATCTGAAATAAGTATTCAACAAGCTTAGAGAAAGTGATCTAAAACTTCAGCCAAGTAAATGTCAATTTGATAAAATCACACTCACCTTTCTGGAACATATTATTAGCAAAGATGATTTGAAATCTGATTCAGCCAAAATTTTAGCTATAGAATAATTTTCTAGATTAATAAATCTAACTATTTTGAGAGAATTTCTTGGCTTAGCCTCATATTATAAATACTTTGTAAGAAATTTTGCAAATATAGCAGTGCTTTTAAATCAATTGATGAGAAAAGATTAATCTTTTGAATGATTTATTGAGCATCAAGAAGCATTTGAAGAATTGAAAAATAGATTAATTACTGCATCTATATTAATCTATCCAGACTTTGAGAAACCTTTCATACTATATACTGATACTTCTAGCTTTGATTTAGGAGCAATTTTGACACAAAAAGATAAAAAAGACAATGAATATATAATCACTTACACTAGTAAAAGAATAAATAATACTGAGAAAAATTATTGTGTAACTGAATTAGAATGTTTAGTAGTAGTTTGAACAATATAATTATTCAAATTATACTTATATTCTAATATTTCTTTCACTCTGATAACTGATCATAATGTTTTGAAGAGTTTATTTAACAAACAAAAAATTTCTGGAAGACTTGCATGCTGGATTTTGACTCTAGAGGATTATAACTTCAAAATTGAATATTGCAAAGGCAGAATTCATTCTAATATAGACCCTTTATCTAGATATTTCTAATCAGAATCAACTTAGATACAAAAGAAATAAAGAAAATACATTATCAACAGCCACTCAATAACTACTTGATATACTCTTATCTGATTACTTAACTTGAACATAATAAAATTACTTGAATATTCACAACTCATCACTTATTTAGATACTCTAATCATATTAGAAGAAATATCAGAAAAAGATCAATAAAAATTCAAAAATAAAGCAAAGTTATATTTAGTAAAGAAAGAAATCTTAT